CCCCCCCCTCCCCCAACATACAACCTTCTTGTTAAAGCATGAGTTTGCAAACACAGACTTTGGTTTGCAAACACTTGTCTATGCAGTCATGTGGATGAACATCACGTCTGCTCATATCTCAAACTAGCTATTTTGTATCAAGGTCTCAATCGTCTGCTTCCCGTGTCTCCTGTGTCTCATCATGGATGTGTGTCTGGCAGAGGCTACGTCCCACTACGTCCACTACCTGGACACACTACAATATGCTGAGGTTTCAAATGGCAACTTCACCGTGGAAGCTTTGCCCTTAATCAAGCCTCCACGCCAAAGCAAGAAAAGCTTCAAAGAGTTCTTTCACATAGTGCCCAACATTTCCACAGAAGATCAGGAGGTGATTCGCGCTGTCATGTCAGAAGATCCCTTGTGTATCTCACGCTTGCCAAACTCTGTGCGTCCCCGCGATGCACTTGGAACTTCCTGTCACTTGCAGCTCGTTCTCCACCAACATCCTGATGGTTCCTGCACAGCCTTGAAGTTTTTCCATTCCAAGGTGAGCATTCCTATGGGCCTGGCGAGAACACTATGTGAGGATCAAGTCTTGGTGATTGACTACTCCTTGGCCAAAAACTCTGATGCAGTGAAGAAGGCATTTCTCTATATGCTCTCACAGATCAGTGGCCACCACTGGATGACTCAGGTCTTGCGACAAAAACAAATTCCCAAAGAGCAGCGCCTTCCAGGCGATTCAGAGAAAGCATGGAATCCAACAGAAGAGGAACTTCGCAGTGGCATCAACTATATCAATGACTATGCGCCCTTGGCCAACTCAAAGAATGAGCAATACCTGTGGGTACTTCTTCAGATTCGTGATGCTACATCTCCGCTGCATGGCTGGCCTCAACACGTGGTGCTCAAAGCCTGCGCAAATCGAGTGACCGGCAACTCTCAAGCTGAGCCAGAGTACTTCTTTCCTTTGTTGCTCTTGGATTTGAACCCAACCTTTCTCAACAAGATTGTGCCCATGATCTTGCCTTTGATGCCGTCCTTTGGCTTGATGGTGCTCGGGAAAGCAGGAGTTGGGAAGACACCTACAGCTCAGATCATGGCGATGGCCGTTGCTCGTCACCTCACATCTTCTCGCAGTTTGTCTGGTTTACCTGGATGGCGGCGCTCCAAGCAAATTGACGGCTTTAGAGAGCGCCCGGGCGAAGTCAACGTCCCAGCTCTCTTGGACGATCCCAACTTGAGCAGCATCAACCTGGAGGACCTCAAATCGTTCTTGGATGTGGGTGAAAACTGCTTGGTGGATGCGCGGTACAGAGCCGCTAAGTTCTCACGGAACCAATGCCGCATTGTCCTCAACAATGAATGGGATGAATCAAAGGAGCCGGACACCTTCTTGTCACACATCACGTGGGAGCAATTCAAGGAAATGTTCCTCACAGCTTGTCAATATCCCAAGTTCCCACACCTGATGGCCATCTTGAAGAGGACCATGGTAATCATTGCTGGGCACAATGGTGTTTACATTCGTCTTCCAAGTGAACACACATCCGAACCAATTCATTGCTTCAATGAGGGCGGTGTGACAGAAGATTGGCTTCAGGAAACTCATAAGAAGTTCTACGGTATGTACAAGCAAGGTGTGCATGAAAAGTATTTTGGTTACGACTCCGCAGTTGAGGAAGAGCAAGCATTGGTTGCAAAACTCTTGGCAACCCCTGAAGAGAAGGACTACATCCACCGTGCTGAAACACATGATCGTTGGCGTCTAGAGGCTGCTCCAGCATCTCCACCGGCTTCTACTGCTGCACTTAGGACGGCTGACGCTTCTCCAATTCATCTCAAGGAAGAAATCACATCACCTGTCACCAAGAAGCCTCGCGCGTGCTTCGGGCTCATTGATGTGGACGCAGAGGCAGAGGAGCTTGAGCTTGGCGAGTTTGATGATGTCTTTGGCCATGGTGATATGGAGTAGTGATCAGCTCTTAGAGACATACCTTACTGAGAGAGTAGCGTCCTTTGTGTAGCAGTCTCAACCATTTTGACCTGGTGGCTGGTGTCATATAAAAAAACTCTCATTCTCAGTGTGCGTGTGCTTACTGTTTGCCTTTGCTCAACACAGCTTGTCATTGTCATAGCTTCTCCACTGCAACTGTGTCTTCAGTACTTTCTAAATAAATTCATCTTGTGATGTGGTATTTCTGTATCAAATATCAGGTGTCAGTGAAGCTTGTGAGTGTAGTTCTTCATGTGGCCCATCATGGCGACCTACAAGAACATGGCGGACTTTCAGAAGAAGTTTTCCTTGAGCTGCATTCGGTCAAGAACTGATTTTCTGCATAGTATCAAGTGGGCTTCTCTCCAGTCGACTGATCCCTACCCGGACCACCCGTCCTTGAAAGGCATCTTATTTGCTATGCATTCAAACCTTT